CGTCGCTCGCCGCCGACAGGCCCTTGCATCCTTCCCTTTGGCATCGCTCGGACGTGTGCACTTTCTCGGCGGGGACCATCGAGGAGCATCCAGGATCCTCTCGCCAAAAGAAAATACGCGCGCGAAGCCGCAAAATGCACGGGGAATGAACGTCCGAGCGATGGCGAGTACTGCGCATCTTTATTTTGAAGGCCTGACGGCCGGTGCCGCCGACCCTGAAAGACATCGACGAAGACCAGGAGGGGGAGGAGGAGGAGGAGGAGCAGGAGGAGGAGGAGGAGGAGGAGGAGGAGGAGGAGGAGAAGGAGGAGGAGGAGGAGGCGGAGGCGGAGATAAGGAGGAGGGGAAGGAGGAGAAAAATGACTCCATTCTGGGCCCCCCCCCCTGGGGAGGAGGACCAGAGGAGGACCGGCGTGGGAGAGGGGAGGGGAGGGGGAGGAGGACCCCCAGAGACGAATGCGTACCTGACTCCCCTCACCCCCCTGGGACTCCTCCCTACCTGCGGAGGAGAACCCGAGGAGGACCAGCGCGCTGGAGAAAGACTGGCGTGGGAGAGGAGGACCCCCAAAGGCGGTGCGAATCTGACCCCCCCCCCGGGACCCCCCCCCGCCGGGGAAGGGACAATTGGAAGGGGCTTCCTTTTGACGTCATGAGGACGTGGATGGAATTCCCTCGAGCTGCGAACCCGTTCCCCGAACGAGGAAGGGTTTTTTTTGCTCTCTCTCGCTCTCTGTCTCTCTCCCCCGACGGAAGAGGATAATGGGAAGGAGGGGATGAAAGAAGGCTTCCCGTCGACGGGGCGGGACAGACACCCCACACGCCGAGAGGGTCGGCGGGTTCTACGGGTCGGCTGTGCGGGCTGCCCGCCTAGTAAGGAGGGGCACCCTTCCCAAGGGCACCCTGGCAGCCTTGACCCGGCGGCCCACGCCCAGCGACTCTGGCTGGCCAGCCTCGGTGGACAAAAAGCGTGAGCATGGGCCTCAGAGTCCCTTTGCATCATCATGATTCCACGGGTCGGTTGCGCAGTCAACCCGCACCAAGAGTACCCTTGAAGTACCCTTGAATTCCGCGCATCCTTATTCTACGGGTCGGCTGTAGGGCAGGGGACCCAGGGATGCAGGGCAGGGTCCTACAGCGCCGGCAGCTCCACCGTGCAGCTGACCACCTCCTCCTCCTCCTCCTCCTCCTCCTCCTCCTCCTCCTCCTCCTCCTCCTTTTCTTCTTCCTCCTTCCTCGTTCTCCTCCGCCTCCCTCCTACTCCTCCTCCTCCTCCTCCTCCTTCTCCTTCTCCTCCTCGAGGAGCTCAGGATGTCGGCGCTGGCGCAGCTGCGCGGGGAGCTGCCGGCGGGCGCGGAACCGCGGGCGCCGCGGCCCGCCGCCCCCGCCGCGGCGGCGGCGCTCCGTGGCGGGGCGCGCGCGGACGAACGGCAGCGGGAGGCGCTGCGGGCGCTGCGGCGGGCGCTCGGGGGGGCGAAGTCCGCGCTGCACGCGGCGGGCGCCCCAACCGAGGCCGAGGCTCCGAGGAGGAGGAGGAGGAGGAGGAGGAGGAGGAGGAGGAGGAGGAGGAGGAGGAGGAGGAGGGAGGAGGAGGGGTGAGGAGGAGGAGGACGAGGAGGAGAGGAGGAGGAGGAGGAGGAGGAGGAGAGGAGAAGGAGGAGCAGGGTTGAGGAGGAGGAGGGAGAGGAGGAGGAGCAGGAGGAGGAGGGGAGGAGGAGGAGAGGAGGGGGAGGGGGAGTAGGAGGGAGGAGGAGGAGGAGGAGGAGGAGGAGGAGGAGGAGGAGGAGGTTTGGGAAGGAGGAGGAGGAGGAGGGGCAGGAGGAGGGCGATGATGATGATGATGATGATGATGATGATGATGATGATGATGCTGATGATGCTGATGATGATGATGATGGTGATGATGATGATGCTGCTGCTGCTGATGATGATGATGATGATGATGATGATGATGATGATGATGATGATGATGATAGTGATGATGATGATGATGATGCTGATGATGATGATGATGATGATGATGATGATGATGATGATGATGACGAGGAGGAGGAGGAGGAGAAGGAGGAGGAGGTTGGGGAGGGGGAGGAGGAGGAGGAGGAGGACGAGGTACCGATACTCATCACCCACCAAACCACCCGCAACCCAACCAGAATGCCAATGTGCATGGCCCAATGTGCCCTCCATTTACTAGTGGGGGAAAATACGCATGTGGAATCCATACTTCCCAAACCCGAAACGAGGGGCCTCGGGTTAGGTTGGGGTGGTCTGGCAGGTAGTCAGGTACTGCTCTACCCTTCCCTCGTTGTCCCCTGTTTCGGCCTCCTGGGGGTGCCCTCGTCGCCACCGCTGGGTTCGCGTCGAGGTTCTCGTCAGAGCGCGCCCCAGGAGAGGTCCAGGAACAGGAGGAGGAGGACGAGGAGGAGGCGGGAGGAGGAGGAGGAGTGAGGAGGAGGAGGAGAGGAGGAGGAGGAGGAGGAGGAGGAGGAGGAGGAGGAGGAGGAGGAGGAGGAGGAGGAGGAGGAGGAGGAGGAGAAGGAGGAGGAGGAGGAGGAGGAGGAGGAGGAGGAGGAGGAGGAGAGGAGGAGGAGGAGGAGGAGGAGGAGGAGGAGGAGGAGGAGGAGGAGGAGGAGGAGGAGGAGGAGGGGAGGAGGAGGGAGGAGGAGGAGGGGTGAGGAGGGAGGAGGAGGGGTGAGGAGGAGGAGGAGGAGAGGAGGAGGAGGAGGAGGAGGAGGAGGGGAGGGAGGAGGAGGAGGGGTGAGGAGGGAGGAGGAGGAGGACGAGGAGGAGGAGGAGGAGGACGAGGAGGAGCTGCATAAGGTCTTCACAGGCCAGCAGAGGGGCGTCGCCGAGGACGCGGAGCTGCACGCAGAGGCCGCCGAGCGGGCGAACGCCGCGCTCCGGGAGGCGCGCGCCGCGCTGGAGCCCCTGGTGAGGATCGGGGGGCCTAACACGCAGGGAGGGCGGCCAGGTTCCTCCTCCTCCTTCTCCTACTCTTCCTCCTCCTCTTTCTCCTACTCTTCCTCCTCCTCCTCCTCCTTCTCCTCCTGCTCCTCCTCTTCCTTCTCCTCCTCCTCCTCCTCCTTCCGCCTCCTCGTCCTCATCCTCCTCCTCCTCCTCCTCCTCCTCCTCCTCCTCCTCCTCCTCCTCCTTCTCCTCCTCAAGCCTCGTCACCGCACGCACGGTTTTGGGACCCAGGCCGCTCGGTGCGAGGACGTCCCGGTCCAGGGGGCGGGGGGGGCAGGGCAAGCGCGCGCCGCGCTCGGGCCCCTGGCGAGGCTCGGGGGGCCCAAAACGATGCGCGGCGACCACACCGTCGTTGTGAGTCGGTGGGGCCCGTGGTCATCGCACGGGCTTCGGAGGAGTTCCCTGCGCCTTCTCCGAAACCTGGGGTGCTTCTCGCAATGCTGGAGGGTTTCTGAGAAGCCCCGCGGCCTTCGGAAAAAGCCCAGCCCCTCTCACCTAACCCTTCGGCGCGCGGCTGAGTGTGGTGAGTTCAGTGGGGATCTGGGGTCATCGCACACACGGCTTTGGGACTCGTGTCGTTCGGTCCGAAGACGTCCCGGGCGACGGGGGCCTCTGGGGTCTCAAACACGTGCGGTGACGGACCGTGTGGTGACGAAGCGTACTGTGGGTGGCGATCATCGTGCAACGTTGAGTGGCGGTCACGAAGCCGCGGGGCGGGCGCCCCCACCCCAGCCCCCATGCTTGGGCGAACGGGAGGGGGCGCAGCGCGACGCGCAGCGGCGCGGGGCGACGCGTGCCCAAGCGTTGGGTGCGAGGCGTCGCGCAGTCCGCCCTGCTTGCATGGGCGAGCGCACGAGGGGGCGCGTGCGCCGCCCAGGGTTGGGAGGGGCGTCGCGCACGCACGGGTGGTGGGGGTGTCCTGCCACGCTCGGCGAGGGGCACCTGCAGTGCGGCTTTTGCCCGCCCACCGTGGCCGTGCGTGCGGGCGCCGACGCGCGCTTGTCCATGTGACGTGCTTTGCCCGGGTGCGGCATTCCGCACGTGTGAGGCGCGTGTCCGCGGCTCACTGGTGGCCGCTGCTCCGCGCGTGTGTTGCGTTCTCTGGCTCTTTGTAGCAAACTCTGCGATTTCGTGGCACCTGCACGTGCCACGCGTGTGTCCAAGGCTCACTGGTGGCCGCTGCTCCGCACGGGTGAGGCGCGTGTCAGGCCCTTGGTGGCATATTCTGCCCGGGTGTGGCACTATGCACGTGTGTGGCGTGTATCATCGGCTCACCTGCGGCCGCAATTCCGCACGTGTGAGGTGTGTGTGTGTGTGTGTGTGTGCGTGTGTGTGTGGCCCTTGGTGGCACTTCTGCCCGCGTGTGGCACTTTTCACGTGTGAGGCGTGTTTCCTCGGCTCACCAGTGGCCGCAATTCAGCACGTATGAAGCGCGTGTCTGGCCCATTCTGGCACGTCTCCCCGTGTGTGGCACGCCCGTGTGGTGCACCTTGCACGTGTGAGGCGTATCCTCGGCTCACTGATGGCCGCGACTCCGCCCGTGTGTGGCGTGGGTTTGGCCCTTTTTGTGGCACGCTCTGCCCGCGTGCGGCGCGCCCGCGCGTGGCATTTGAACGTGTGAGGCCTGTTTCCTCGGCTCATGTTGGTCGCAACTCCGCGCGTGTGAGGCGTGGGTCTGGCCCTTCGTGGCGCGTCCTGCCCGTGTGTGGCTCTTTGCGCGTGTGAGGCGTGAGTCATTGGCTCATTGGTGGCCGCAAATCTGCCCGTGTGCGGCGTGTGTCTGGCCTCTTGTGGCACGCTCCGCCCGTGTGTGGCATCTTGCGCGAGGCGTGTATCTCGGCTCACTGATGGCCGCAAATCCGCCCGTGTGAGCCGAGGGCGCGTGCGTCCTCGGCTCATTGGTGGCCGCAATTCCGCGAGCGCGGGAAGTAAAGCGTTCCGCCCGCGTCGCCCGCGCAGTGTGCAGCTGATCAGCGGGAGAAGTCGCGTGTCGCACTCGCGCGGGCATCTTGGCCGCTTTGTCTTTTCCTGCGTGGATGGCCAAGGCTGAGTCCGAGGCCCCGCGAGGGGATGAGTTCTACAGGAATTTGGCCGAGGCGCTGAAGCAGAATGACGTTGCTCACTGGGCCCACCTGCTCGAAGTGGATCCGATTTCGCTGAAGAGCCTCGACTCGGCTGGAAAGGTGAGCGCTCGACGCGCGGTGATTGCTGGCCTGGCCGGCGCGGTCTGGCAGGTGGGATGCGTCAAGGCATTGGCCCGTGCGGCTGGCGAGCAGAAAGGCCCAGGCCAGGGGCAGCTTGCGCCAGTGGCAGGGGATCTGTCCCGCCTCGGAGAAGCGCTGCGTTCCGCGCGCGAACCGACCGCCAAGCGCGCGGCGATTGGGCCCGCCATTCGCCAGGCGGGAGGTCGCAGGGTTGCGCGCGCGTCGCCGGGCGTCGGCGCGTCAGGCGCCCCTCCGCGATTTGCCGCCGCCCATCTGGCCATCATCTGCTGCGGTCGACGCCCTGGGGGCCCAGGCGGCAATGCTCCGGCGCGAGGGCGTGGCCCGCCCGCATGCGTCGCCGGACTTCAAGGCGAGATCGCTCCGCGCGCGCCCGCGCGGCGCGCCCCGCTGGCGCGCGCGGGGCGCTTTCCTGCCGTTCTGGGCTTCGGGCAAAGCGCCGGGAGCGGAGGCGCACCCCTCGGAAGCTGGGGTCCAGGAAGGGCTGCTGCCGTTCAACCAGTGGCGCCCAGCCTTTGATGCGCGCGCGACCGCGGCAGCGATCTGGGCCGACCAGCCGAGCTCCATGTCGCCTCGGTGTCATAAGCAGCACGTGGTGCAGGCGCGTTTTGCCCGAAGCGCGCGGCGGCGCGGCCCCGCGCCGGCGCGGCGCAGGTGGCCGCGCGTGCGAATTCGCTTAACGAGCGGCCGCGCCTGGCGTTGCACCTCGACGTGATGGCGCGCCGCTCGCGGGCGGAGAGATCCAGCGCGGGGGCCCCCCCCCTCCGAGGCGCTGCGACGCGCGTGCGTTTTTGCGCCCGGCCTGGCTTCCACCTTGCGTTGAAGGTGAACCGCGCTGCACAGACGTGGGGCGAGGGCTTGCCGCGCTCGGCCGTAGCCGCGCACGACGCGGCGGAATGTAAGCCAGCGAAGGCATCGACTCCTCGTCAGGAGCCCCCAGCGGGGAGCGACCGCGGAGGCCAGGCGAGCGACCGCCGGGGCGATTGATGGCCGGCTGCGGGGTCTGCCGCGAGCGGGCACCGCGGCGCCTGGGTATGCCGCGGGAGCTGGAACGCCACAAACTAGAGAGGGGGGAAGAGCGAGTGGCCCAGCAAAGGGGACCGCAAGGGCAAGCGCGGCAACCCCGCGGCACCGAGGACGCCCGAGAAGCGCGTCAAGCCTCCGCGAGGCGAGTTCGGAGTCGCGGGGGGGCTGCGCATGCCGACCGCGCTCGCGCCGCCCGCCAGGCATCGGGCCAGTGCAGAGCGCAATGGAGGAGCCAGCTGCCCAGCGAGTGAGCGCTGCCGCGCGCGACGTGAGTGCCTGGGGGCGATGCGAGCCTCCAGACCGCGCTGACAGTGTGCAAGGGGAGGCACAGGCACATTTTGCGCCATTGCTGAGTGAGGCGTCCTCGGCGGGCGCAGCCGAGGATATGTCGAAACTCGAATGCACGCGCGGCTCGGCCCTTCGCGACATCTTCGCGCGGTCCGCGGCGTCCGGCCCCAGCGACGTTAATTGCGCGCGCGAGGGAGGGAGGGTTGGACCCGCGAGATTGAACGCCCCGGCCGCCCGTTTGAAGACAGCCGCGAGGCGGAGGAATGGCGCAGGCAGGCGCCGCCGCTATTCGAACATATACTTCGCGAAGTCAACATCCCGTTGCTCCGTGCGCTCGTAGCGCGGTCGGAATACGGAGACGCAGGCGTTGTGCATTGCTTCGCGGAGGGCGCGCCAATCGTTGGAGCGCCGCCGTCGACGGGGGATGGCATTCCCGTGCAAGGGAAGGGTGCCTGCCCGGACGTTGCCGCACTGCGCCCGGGCGCGGTGGCGCATAATCAGCAGATTTTTAGGGCAATGCGCGAATCCGAGGGAGCGAGCGCGCTCCTAGAGAGACGGGCGAGGACGCTAGTCTAGGGTGGATGTCGCGGTCGATTCCTTTTCCGGCGTCGGCAACTGCTGCCGAGATTGCGCGAGTCATCGGCGATGGCGCGCGCTTGCTGCCGAGATTTCTCGCGGCGCAGTGCAAGCCAGATGGGGGTGTCAAAATCAGGCCCATCGATGACGGCACTCGCGCCGGCATTGCGGAGGCGACGCTGCCTGGGGAGAAACTTGTCGTTGACAGGGTCGATCGTGTGATTGCGGCGCGCCGCGCCTTCTTTGAATCGCACGGCGTGGCGCCGGCCCTGTGGAAATCGGATATAGACGCCGCGTGCAGGCGCACCCCGCTCGCCCCAGGCCACGCGTTCGCGGCGTGGAGCGCATTCCTGGCGGACGGCCGTCTGTGGGTCTCGCAGCATTTTGTGCTCCCCATTGGAGCATCTGGGTCCGTGCACGGTTGGGACCGAGTTGCCGCTTCCCTTCGCCGCGCAGCGCGGCGTCTGCTGCGGATCCCCGCGGGGCGGTAGGTCGACGATTACTTAGCCCCTGGCGCCGCGAAATCGGCAGCGCATGCCATGGAAATTTTCGCGCGGCTGGTGCGTGCCATCCTTGGGCCCGGCAGCATTGCCAGCGGCAAGCTCGAGTGGGGCAACGTGCTTGTCCTGCTGGGGGTTCACTTCGCTTTCTCCCACTCGCGCGCTCGAATCAGGAAAACTCGAGCCGGGCGCGGCGGCGAAGCTTGCCGGGGCGCTATCCTGGGCCAGTCAATCGCTGTTCAAGCGGCTGGGCAGAGCTTTTCTGCGACCGTTGTTCGCGCAGCAGCGCGGCTGCGGCTCTCGCGTCGAGACTCCGGTGGCGCGAAGTGCTGGATGCGGGCGTCCACGAAGTGGCGGAGTGGACAGCGCGCCCTCTGGGCGCGGCGCATTTGTTTGCCGATGCGCAGAGCGCTCCGCCGCGCGCGGCGGCGGTGCTGTTCGCGCGCGGCCGCGCGTGGCACGCAGATTGGGCGCCGGACGCCGCGGTGTTGCGGCTGTTCGGGCAGCGCGGCGTCAATTATTCTATGGGCCTGGAGCTATTGGGCATCGCTGTGGACATGTCGTCTTTCAGGCACATTCTGGCGAACGCGGCGCTCGAGATTTTTTCAAACAGCCGCGGAGCAGAGCAGGCGGTGGCGCGAGGATCCGCGTGCCATTTTGACCGCGCCTGCCTCGTGCACGGGGCATGGGCGCTGGCTGCCGACTGCCTCGGCATCCGCGTGGGTCCATCGGGTGCCTTCGGCGTTGAATATCGCAGATCCGCCATCGCGGGAAGGTTCCGGCCTGGTGCGCCGCTTGGACGCGACTTGTGTAGAACCGGGGCTGGGCGATCGCTTCTGCGTCCCTCAGCAGCGGGCCTCCCTCGCAAGGGCCCGCTGAGTGCTGCTGCTTGCTTCGGTTGGGTGGCGCGGGGGCACGCGCGTCGCATGCTTTCCCGCGCGAGCCTCGCAGCGCGGAGACGCGCGGGGAGATGTCGGACGCGTCGGTATTCGGCCATTGGCTTCGCGTGTGCGATTTGCGGCGCCAGCCGCTTGCCTTTTACGTCAAGTTTGCCGCGTATCTCAAATCGCAGGACATGCTTCACTGGAAGCATTTGGCAGACGTCGGCGCCGACTCCAGTCGGCTTCAACTATCACCGCGCAGCAGCGATGTAGCAACCAGGCGGCGCGCCCGTGGGCCGCTAACCCCGCGCGTTGTGGCCGCGCGCAGGGCCATCAACGAAGCGAGGATACAGAGGGGCATGCCGGCTCTCGAGGGTTTCTCTTTCGGTCGGTGCAGCGTTGCAACGACGCAGAGGCAGCGCCGCCCACGCGCCCCCCGGCCGCCGGGGCCCTGGCGGCGCATGGTGAAAGGCAGGATCGCCCGAGGCCATGTCCCCCCCGCGCCAGCATTGGCGAGGGCGTCGCAGTGCGCCCGCGGCTTCCGCCGGGGCCGCCGCCGGGCTAGCGGCCGAGGCGCGGGGGCGATGCCGGGGCGACGGCGACAGAACAATTGTGCGCGGCGTTGTGCCCTGGTGACGCGCAAGGCGATCCTGCGGTGGGCTCGCGAGCTCGGGGAGCGGTCGAGGCCGTGGTTGAGTATGCTGTTTCGTACGCAAACCAATTGGACGCGCCCGGTGAGGGACCGCGACGCGCCCTCGACGGCGTCGCTGTAATGAGCCCGCCCGAACGCCGGCGCTTCGCCACGAGGGCGCGCTTTGATGCGGCGCTTGGCAGTTGTCTTCGATCAGTGCAGAGCTGGGCGTCCGCAGTGCGATGGTGGCAACGCATTTCAAAGTGCGTCCTTGGGCGGGATTCCCCCTTTCCCATCAGCGCGGAGGATCTCCAGTTCGCCAGTGCGCTGTTCCGCGTGAGCGGCGCGTTTGCTAATTACTGCGGGCGCGATTGGGCATCGCGAAGAGGTGCCCGACGCCCCCGAGAGTCAAACGTTTTGTGCAGCGCGCCCTCCTGTCCAGAATCGTTGGAGCGAGCATCCCGGGCCTGGTGGCCGCGTCTGCCAGAAGAGACGTGGCGATGCTCATGCGTTTCGGATGCGCATTTCTGTTGCGCCTACCAAGTGAAGGCTTGCCCGCTATCTTCGATGACTCGGCATTCAATGAGCAGCACCGGGCATCGGTGTGCCTCTCAGCAGAGGCGTTGCGTTTGCGATTGCAGCGGCGCAAGAATTCGGAGCGGCTTGTGACAATTTGGCGCAAGTGCTGGCGCCGCACCGAGGGCGGCAAAGGCGCGTGTCCAGCGCACGTCCTCGGTGCTTTTTTTCGAGAAAGCGAGCGTAGGCACGCAGGCCTTCGCGAGCTTCTCCCCCGCGGACGCCGTGGCCGCCATCCGGATAGCGGCCGCGGCGGTGGGCGCAGCGCGCCCGGGGGAATTCGACACGAAGGCGCGCCGCCGCGGACGCGCGATCGTCTGAGTCGAGCGCGGGGCTGGCCTGGCCGAGATATACTTCGCGCGGGCGGCTGGCGGAGCGCTGCCTTCATAGATAATATGCCCGTAGAGTCTCTCGAGCGGGGCGCTATTTTCGAGGCCGGGGGCAATTTCTCTTCCGACAGCGATGCGCGAAGAAAAGAGACTGGGCTTCATGCCTGGTGGGGCGCGCGCGCTGGCGCTCCGGCGGCGCGCGTGCATTGGGTCTGCTCATGCGCGCGCGTGGCGCGCGCGGCTGGGCCTCCCGCCAAGCGCCCGGCGCTCCGTGGCAGCGGGCGTTCGCACTGGGCGTTCGGCTAGGCCGACGACGCAGGGAAGTGCCCGAGCCACCGCCGTCTCGGGGCGCCGTCGCGCGCGGCCAGGGTCGAGCGCCGCGCCCAACGTCGCGGCGCGACGCGCCGAGCCGTTTGGCGTCCGCGCCAAGGTTTTGCGGCGGGCGATCATTGTGCAAACGTTGAATCGCGGTCACGAAGCCGCGGCGCGGGCGCCCCCGCCCCAGCCCTCATGTCCGGGCGAACGGGAGGGGGCGCCGCGCGACGCGCAGCGGCGCAGGGCGACGCGTGCCCAAGCGTCGGGTGCGAGGCGTAGCGCAGTCCGCCTTGCTTGCGCGGGCGAGCGCGCGAGGGGGCGTGTGCGCCGCCCAGGGTTGGGAGGGGCGCCGCGAACGCGCGGTTGGTGGGGGTGTCCCGCCACGCTCGGCGAGAAGCACCTGCGGTGCGGCTTGTGCCCGCCCACCGCTCCCTTGGCGGCCATTCGGCTCGGGGCGTTCGCCCGAGCCACCGCCGGCTCGGGGCACCGTTGCGCGCGGCCAGGGTCGAGCGCCGCACCCAACGTCGCGGTGCGACGCGCCGAGCCGTTTGGTGTCCGCGCCAATGTTTGTGAAGTTTCTCGAAGAGAAGGCCATTATATGAACAGTGCCTTTTCGGAGGTCTGCGCGGATTTCTCGAATCGGCGCTGGGCCCCCCTCCCTGCGCGGGGAGCGCGCCATCAGGGGCGCTGGAGGCGCCGCCAGGGGGGCCCGCCGCCGATTCAAGAAGTCCGCGCAGACCTCCGCATTTGTTTATGGCTTCCGCGTGTGTGAGTGTGTGTGTGTGCGTTCTCCGACATGCAGGCTAAATTGCGACTCCGTGTCCTGGTTTCGCCCCGACGCGCCAGCGGATTGCCTTTGCCGAGCAGCGACGGCATAAGAGTGTGTGTGAGTGTGTGTGTGTGTGGTGTGTGTGTTGTGTGTGTGCGCGTGTGCGTGTGCGTGTGGGTGTGCGTGTGGGTGTGCGTGTGCGTGTGCGTGTACGTGTGCGTGTGCGTGTGTGTGTGTAAATGTATTTGAATGTGTGTGAATGTGTGTGAATGTGTGTGTGTGGGGTGCGTGGTGTGTGTGTGTGTGCGTGTGCGTGTGTGTGTGTGCGTGTGCGTATGCGTGTGCGTGTGCGTGTGCGTGTGCGTGAAAGTGAAAGTGTAAGTGTCAGTGTAAGTATAAGTGTAAGTGTAAGTGCGTGTGCGTGTGCGTGTGTGTGCGCGTGCGTGTGCGTGTGCGTGTGCGTGTGCGTGTGGTGTGCGTGTGCGTGTGTGTGTGCGTGTGCGTGTGCGTTGCGTGTGCGTGTGCGTGTGTGTTTGTGTGTGCGTGTGTGCGGCGTGCGTGTGCGTGCGTGCGTGCGTGCGTGCGTGCGTGCGTGCGTGCGTGTGCGTGCGTGTGTGTGTGTGTGTGTGTGTGTGTGTGTGGTGTGTGTGTGTGTGTGTGTGTGTGTGTGTGTGTGTGTGTGTGTGTGTGTGTGAGAGAGTGAGTGAATGTGTGTGTTGTGTTTGTGTTGTGTGTGTGTGGTCTGTGTGTGTGCGTGTGTGTGTGTGTGTGTGTGTGTGTGTGCGTGCGTGCGTGCGTGCGCGTGCGTGCGTGGTGTGTGTGTGTGCCTTTGTGTGTGTAAGTGTGGTGTGTGTGTGTGTGTGTGTGTGTGTGTGTGTGTGTGTGTGCGGTCGTGCGTGTGTGCGTGCGCGCGTGCATTTTTTTTTTGTGTGTGTGTGTGTGCGTACGTGCGTGCGTGCGAGCTACTTCGACGGCGATGCTCCGCATCCTGATCTACACCACCGTCGCTGTCTGGGGCCGCCTGCGCGCCGCTCGCTCGCCGTTTTTTGGGCAGTTTGGGCCACTCCCGCCTCCTTTACAGCCGCCCTCTTCTTTTCCACCCGTCGAGAAGGAGATCGACGACATAATGGATTTACCCCAGGACTGATCTGTTGGTCGAATCTGCAACCGAGTGCGCAGAAGGTCCATAGATCCACGAGCCTTCGACGCACTTTTTTGTTGCAGGTCCGGCGATGAGATTCCATGTTGGGGTGCATCGATGACGATCCCCTGCTCGAGCTCCACTGCCCGTCCTTGGCACGCGCTGCCGTCAGCAACCCCCCCGCCCGCGTCCGTGGTGCCGGATGGGGGGGACAGCACAAGCACGTGAATGCCTCCCTTGCGATCTTCGAGGTTGCCGCCCGGTCCGGCCACCGCCCGGGCTTTCGCAGAGCCCGCAGTGCATCCAGGGCCTGGGCGTGGCCGGAGGTAGCTAATGCTTCCTCCCTCGGGGGCCAAGACTCAGGAGGGGAAAAAACACACAGACATAATTTATCGTCGATCCCCGGGAAAATCTGGGAAAATAATGGAAGTGGGGGAGACGAACATCAACATCATGCTGGAAACCATAGCGGATTTTGTTATTTGTGTGCCTTGTTATTTGTGTGGATTTATTTGTGTGTCCCTTGGGCCCCTTCAAAGACCACAGATGCCCCAGACCAGAGCTACCCCCGCACCTCGGACGCCCCTCCGCTCCCGAATCCTCGGGGCTGGGGGCGGTGCGCAGGGGGCCCGCACCAGAGTCGCCCCGGTCTGGAACCCCCCCAGACAAGTCGGAGGTCCGAGTCCCAAGCCACCCCCCGGGCCCCCGACGTCGTGAGTTTGTCACAACGCCGACTCCCCAGAGGTCTGGACCCCTTCTCCGGGACTGGCTTGTCCTTCCGAGCTGTTTTCTGACGGTCCCGAGGCCCGGCGACGGCCCTTGGAGGCTGAAAACAGCGACAAACCTCCCTCCCGCCCTTTTTTTTTTTTTTTCCACAACGCGAGAAGGTCTGGGAGGGGAGGTGGATAACAACGCGGGAACGGCCCCAGGAGGCCGAACATAGCGAACAGCCTATCCCGTCGTGTTTTTGGTCGCAGCGCGCTGGGGTCTGGCCCCACGCCAGGCGGGGCCTGGCGCGCGCCGCGCTGCTGCAGCGGGGCGCCGAGGCTTCGAGCAGGGGATCGTCTGCATCATCGGTGTACCCCAACACTGAATTTCGTCATCGGATTTGTTAAGAAGTAGGATGGAATATGACACACAGGTGTAATTAATCTTCGATCCCCCAGGAAAAGATGGGAACATATGGAAAGCGGGGGGGAAGACAAGAACCCAGGACATATGGGAAAAGATGGGGAGTCATTTTATGTGTTTTTTGTATATATATATGTGTGTGTGTGTGTGTCCGAGGGCCCCTTCATAATCGATCTGCCCCAACATTGAATTTCGTCGTCGGATCTGCAAAAGATCAGGAGGGAACAAAACACCCAGACACAATGAATCCTCGATTCCCCAGGAAAAGGTGGGAACATATTGGAAGTGGGGGGACGACAAAACCCAGGACATATGGGAAAAGATGGGGAATCATTTTAGTTGTGTTTTTTATTTGTGTGTCCCACGGCCCCTTCATAATCGATGTACCCCAACACTGAATTTCGTCGGATCTGCAAAAGATCAGGAGGGAACAAAACACCCGGACACCATGAATCCTCGATGCCCCAAGAAAAGAAAGGAAAATATGGGAAGTGGGGGGGAAGACAAAAACCCAGGACATATGGGAAAATATGGGGAAGCATTGTATTTGTGTGTTTTTATTTGTGTGTCCCAGGGCCCCTTCATGATCGATGTACCCCAACATTGAATTTCGTCGTCGGATCTGCATAAAATGAGGAGGGACAAAAAGACACAGACACAATGAATCCTCGATCCCCCAGGAAAAGATGGGATAATATGGGAAGCGGGGGGAAGACAAAAACCCATAACATCGGGGAAACTATGCGGAATCATTTTATTTGTGTGTTTTTATTTGTGTGTCCCAGGGCCCCTTCATAATCGATATACACCAACATTGAATTTCGTCGTCGGATCTGCGAAGAAGTACGTCGTAGGCTTGCGGATCTGCGAACATCCTTCGCACCTTTGTGCAGCTTCGGCGAACGAATCGACCCACCCGCGACCCACCCGCCACACACCCCCACCCCAGCCGCGACCCACCCAGCGACCCACCCACGATTCGCCCGCGACCCACCCCGCGCCAGCCCCCTCACTCTTATCCGTAACTGCGGAGAGCTGCGTGCTTGTTTACAGATCCGGCGAATCGTGGGGTACAGTCGGCCCGGATCAGTAGGCCGACCCTGCCAAGTCAAGGGTACCCTTGTGTGTCCTGTGTCTCGCGGCCCACGCCTCCGACACTTCCGTGGCAGCGTGCCCCTCGGAAAGGGTCCTGTGTCCTCTCGCGTGCCCTCTCCAGTCAAGGCCGACTGCAAGTCAGTTCTCCAGTCCGTCCCCTGCTCGAAGGCCGAGGTCGAGGGCCTGGAGCCCAGCGCCGCCGGCCCCGCGGCGGTCTCGGCGGAGCCAGGGGGCGACGACCGCCGGGGGCTGCTGGCGGCCTTCGGGGCGGCGCTGATGCCGCTGGCAGGGGAGCTGCGGAGGCCGGGGGGGTGACAGCTCCGTATGGCCCTCTGGTCTCTCTCCTCGTCTGCCCCCTGCCCCCATTCTCCTCCTCGGCTCCCTCCACCTCTTCTCCCTCCCCCCGCCTCCTCCTCCTCCTCCTCCTCCTCCTCCTCCTCCTCCTCCTCCTCCTCTTCCTTTTCCTCCTCCTCCTCCTTCTCCTCGTCTTCCTCCTCCTCGTCTACAGTCAACGCGCCTAGTATGGACGCGCGCCTTCATCTATGGTTGCATTGTGTCCTTGCCTCTGCGGCCCGTCCTGTGCCGTTCTCACTGGTCGCCCGCCGCCCCCCAAAAAATCCGAACCTCGGCCTCCCAGGGTCTTGCGTCCTTAGTCCTTACCGCACGTCCTTCATGTACGTTTCGACTGTACCTCCTCCCCCTTCTCCTCCTCGGCTCCCTCCACCTTGTCTCTCTCCTTTTCCCCCTCCTCGCCCCTAGCGAGGATCACCTGGTGGCCTGGCGCTGCTCGGACGTTTGCATTTTTCCCCGGCGAGGGCCATCAAGGAGCATCCCGGATCATCTGGCCCGCCCAAAAACATGCTCACGAAACCGAAACATGCACGGGGAATGGACGTCCGAGCAACCTCTTCGCATCCGCGGCATCGCGGCAAGGGCTCCTGGGCCGCGACCCCGCGGATACGGGGCACGTGTTCGCGGATGCCCCGCGCGGAATGCACTTGTGAGGCAGCGTGTCCGCGGGATCGCGCCCCGGAGTTCAGACCGCGAGGGCGCGGATACGGACACGTGTTCGCTGCTCGTGGGAGGCTGCCGGTGCGGACCCGGCAGGAGGACACTGCGCTCCTCTTCATCGCGGCCGGTGGTGGCGGGTCCGAGGGGCAGGGGGGGCTCCAGGAGCATCTGTCCTCGTCGGAAACATGGTGGTTGGTGTCGCGGAATACCCTTCGCATTGCGTGCTCCTCGGGGCAGCGCCCACACTGGCGCGCGATATCTGGCAGTTCGGAAGGTACCCGGGAGGACCCGTGCGGGCTTCGAAATGACACCGGATTGAAGCGGGGCTCGCTCCCCAGCGATTCTGCTTCTGCAGGCGTGTCTGCACAGTCGGGGTGGGCAGCTGGCCACTGGCAAGACATGTAGAGCGAGGAGGAGGGGCAAGAGCAATGAGAGCAGAAGGAGAAAGTGGGGGGATAGGGAGGGCGACTGGCCCGGTGGCGCGCACCATGAAAAGGCATCGTCGTCCACGCAGGAGTGCGAACACAAACGTTCGTCCTTCATATCGTCACAATCGAAACCGCAGCATATGTGGCGCACCTTGAGTCTCCTGCAGTCGACGCTACTGCTCTTTCAGGGCGTGCCGATTGTCGCATGCGTCGAGGTTACAGTCGCTATTGTAGACGTAGTCGTCTTCGTGGCCGTCGCCGTGGTCGGATTATTTGTCGTCTGCGTGCTCGTCGTTCTCGTAGCCGTAGTCGTAGAAGCGGCCGCAGTATGATTAAAATTATGATTGATATTCCTAGTATTGATAATTTATTGTTATGAGTCGTACTGTTTGCAGTAGTAGTGGTAGTAGTAGTAGTAGTAGTAGTAGTAGTAGTAGTAGTAGTAGCAGTAGCAGTAGTAGTAGTAGTAGTAGTAGTAGTAGCAGCAGTAGTAGTAGTAGTCGTAGTAGTAGTAGTAGTATCAGTAGTAGTAGTAGTAGTAGTAGTAGTCGTCGTAGTAGTAGTCGTAGTCGTAGTCGTAGTCGTAGTCGTAGTAGTAGTAGTAGTAGTAGTAGTAGTAGTCGTAGTCGTAGTCGTAGTCGTAGTCGTAGTAGTAGTAGTAGTAGTAGTAGTAGTAGTAGTAGTAGTAGTAGTAGTAGTAGTAGTAGTAGTAGTAGTAGTAGTAGTAGTAGTAGTAGTAGTAGTAGTAGTAGTAGTAGTAGTAGTAGTAGTAGTAGTAGTAGTAGTAGTAGTAGTAGTAGTAGTAGTAGTAGTAGTAGTAGTAGTCGTAGTAGTAGTAGTAGTAGCAGTAGTAGTAGTAGTAGTAGTAGTAGTACTTCTAGTAGAAATAGTAGTAGTCGTCGTCGTTCGTCGTCGTCGTCGTCGTGCTCGTACTAGTCGTACTAGCTGTCGTCGTCGTCGTCGTCGTCGCACTGGTGGGAAATCAATTTTTTTTGTGGCACTTTCGCTGGTTTGCTGTTGATCGTAGTGCTGTTGGGCCTGGCGGCGACGCTCGGCACTGCCGGATGCGTCCAGTTAATCACGAGTTCCTGACGACAAGCAGCGTGGAAGCAGCTGCTTCCTGCCCTCCTCTCTCTGGGCGCGGGCCCCACGCCCCTCGAGCATCAACACGAAACCCACCACGAAAAAGCTGACACTGGAATTAAGTCGGGCGTGTCCGTCTACAGAGAGAAAATTCAAAAATTGTCAAGCAATGCGATACGGGGACGATTATTCTTGATTATGTTTGCAATGTCTTTTGAGTATTGTTTCTTTCCCGCCCAAGATATGCCTGTAGGAGGACATGCCCGACCTTAGCACTGGAACGGGGTCGAGATTCCCAGGCACCGTGCTCTGCAACAATCTGCTCAGGGCATCGCACCGTTTGCTGTTGTGGCGGCGGCCACTGCACGGAAGCCGCCACGGCCTCCAGAACGCAGGGGCCATCTCGCCATTGACCAGCACTGCTGACATCCCTCTTCGGGCACCCACGCTCGGCCAAGTGCGCCCACTAAGTGCCTGTCCGTGGCGCCCCGGCCCCACCCGAGCAAGACTGCACACCCGAAAAGGGCGTTCGACGCACGTCGTGAGGATGCCCGGCAAGAGCGCAGAACCCTTGGACGCGCAATTGTGGCGGAGTGCAAGGGCAATGAGTCCAGAGCGCGGCTGTCAGGACGCCCCGTGCTTACGCTTGCACATTGCTCCTCGTTGTTTGCGCTCGCACCCTACTGTCGCAGCTCACGCGCCTATGTTTCTGCGCATCCTCAGTCTGGACGGCGGCGATAACGGGTGCACGGGGACCAGACTGGACAAGTGAGGTCTCACCAGCTGCGTTCTGGCACGCACCGCACGAGAACGATGGAGGGGCCACGCTGCCAGCACATCGACGGCCCCGGGACCCTGCCGGCCTCCCACGGCGCCTCCGCCAACCAGGGGCGACGCGGTGCGTTCAAGCACCGTGCGGCTCGATGCGCCCGCCCGGAAAGAGCACTTCTGTGGACCAATCAGAGTCCCAGGCGTTTCCACGTGCGCACATGCGCCTTCCTCGCTTCTGCGTTTTGCATGACTTCCATATCCCGCAACCATGACTTGTTGACACCCATGTCTTCAACAGGTATCCCAAATAAGTACACATGCTCCCTGTTTGGCACTGTCTGTTCCAGCTATCGTCAAAAAAGCTAGACTTTCCAGCCGTTCCGATTACCTCAGAATGAATTCGAACCAGTTGTCTTTGCACATGCTCACGATCATCTCTGGATAACCTCTGTGTCTCTTGCCCACGACAGAAAAATCGGTGCGCGCGACAGGTCCAAGTGCGGGAGGAGGAGGAGGAGGAGGAGGAGGAGGAGGAGGAAGAGGGGGAGGAAAGGAGGAGGAGGAAGAGGGGGAGTGGAGCGGGAGGGGGAGGAGGAGGAGGAGGAGGAGGAGGAGGAGGAGGAGGAGGAAGATGAGGAAGAGGGGGAGGAGAGGAGGAGGAGGCAGAGGGGGAGGAGGAGGAAGAGGAGGAGAAGGAGGAGGAGGAGCAGGACCACGGAGCACGGAGGCTGAGGGACGCAGTGTCCCGTCACGGCCGCCGCCGCGCCGCGCTCAGGGCACGACGCGGGGCGATGTTCCCTTAGCGCAGGCTGAAACATGGATTTAAGCTCAGGCTCAGCCCACGCCGACCTTGTAGTCGATGGCCTTCTGGTGCACCGTCGGGCCGTGCTTGGCCCAGCAGTCGATGCAGAAGTGCCCCTCGCAATCGGCGCACTCCGCGATGCAGTTGGCGACGGTGCCGCCAGCTACGAAGTACTCGCCCGCCTCGATGCACAGCTGGCAGTCCCACTCCTCGTGCTGCTCCAGCGGCACGATCATGGCGGCCAGCCGGTGCCCCTCGAAGCACTGGGAGGAGCGCGTGGCCGTGACGACGGCCTCCCGCCGCATCCCGTAGAGCTGCCGCAGCGCAGCCCCGTCGTTGCGAGAGCCAGTCCAGTCGTCTGCCGAGAGCCAGTCCAGCGAGTTTCTGGCCACCGTCTCCTCGATGATGCCCAGCTCCACGTCGACCCCGTTGGCCCTCGCATCCACCAGGGCCACGTCGGCGATGGCCTTTCGGTGCACCTCCTCTGCCTTGTTGGCCTCCGCGGTGGCGGCGGCCAGCAGGTCCTCGAGGTCGGCGAGGCGGTCGGCGGCAGCAGCGAGCTCGTCGTGCAGCGCCTGATCCACCTCGGTGCCGTTGCGCTGCGCGTTGGCGATCGCGAGCGCGGCCGTGTTCAGCCGCTCGGTGGCGCCAAGGAGAGGCCCTCCAGCTCGGCGACCCTGTCCTTGACATCCAGCGGCTCCAGCACCGTCATCTCATCGGCCAGCGGCGCCTGCGGGACCGTCTCGGCCCCCAGGCTCTGGCCCTCGATGGTGCCGACGTGCACCTTCCCGATGTACTCGGTGCCGTTGTGACGCACGGTCACGTTCACCACGTCGTTGCCGACGTCGTCGCTCAGCGTCGCCGTCTCCAGCTGCACGTTCTCCACCTGGCGCTTGGCGCGCCTCTACAGCCTGCCGCCAAGCCGTCGCCGAGGGGCTGGGCCTCCGCAGAAGGGTCGCTCTTGTGCCACGCGCCTGGCGCCAGCCATTCGGCCAGCGGTGCACGCGGCGGCTCGTCGGCAAGCGGCACGTCCTGCTGCGCCTGCTGCGCGGCCCGCACCGTGTGGGCCATGCCCAGCCGCGGTCCAGCGGCTGCCCGCCCGACGTCCTGGGCGGATGCGCTGGCAAACCCGCCATGGGGGCACGCGCTGGGAGTGCCCAGGGCAGCGCTGCGCCTCCTCCGTGCACGCCCCGGGGACGCGCTCACCCGTGGGCGAGCCGCCGAAGAGGCGGGCCCGGACGCCCGCTCGCGGGCCCTGCCAGCCGCCCGGGCCACCAGCGCGAGCGGCACCTCGAAGTCCCGCCTCGCACGCCTCCCGCCTCCCTGCGGCGGGCGGCCCGGCGGGCGGCGGAGGCGCCGAGGGCGATGGCCGCGGAGGGGCGCAGCTGGCTGGGCAGCCAGAGGCCCTGGCCGCCCCCCGTCGCCACGACGTCCGCCCGGGGCGCCATCGCCCGGAAAAAAGGCAACGGCGGAACGCGGGACGACACGGCTTGCGCCAAAATGGCTACGGAGGAGGAGGAGGAGGAGGAGGAGGAGGAGAAGTTGGGGGAGGAAGGGAGAAGGGGGAGCCTGAGGGCTCCCCTGGCTCCCCTGCTTCTGCAAAACCCTCCTCCTCCCCCTTCGCTCTCGCAGGCCCGTCGGGCGTACGCCGTGAAACCTGCATCTGCCGGCGAGGACGCATGCCAGGTCAGGCGCCTCGGTGCCTGGCTTGGGGTGCGCCCGCGTCGTTGGCCGCATGATGGCCCATTTGGCATGGCCCAAACGTCCTAAAACGTTTCCCATCCTTCCTCCGTCATGGTGTCATCAACCTCCCCTCCCAGACCTGCTCGCGTTGTGAAACAAATCGGCGGGAGGTTTGTCGCTATTTTCAGCCTCCAGGGGCCAGCGCTGGGCCTCGGGACCGTCAAACAACGACTCAGGATGACAAACCGGTCCCGGGGAAGGGGTCCAGACCTGTGGGGGTCGACGTTGTGAAGCAATCACGACGTCGGGGGTCTGGGCCCCACAGCCGTCGTCGAAGCCCACGTTGCTCTGTCGATCCCGACATGGGCTCCTTGGTGATCTGGAGGCCAGGGTCCTTGCGACCGGAGTTCCACTCCCAGCTGTTCTTGGACAGCCCCGGGGCCTAGCGAGGACTCCAGGCTGAGAATGGGCATGACCCCCCGTGTGTCCTCTTTGCGACGGGGAGGGGGGTGCCCCTGCCCCCCCCCACGCGGGGAAGGCGCCCCCCGCCTTGAGTGATGAAGGCAAGCGGCTAAAACTCAAGATCTTTGCGCGCCCTCCCTGGGGCATGAGACCAAAGATCAGTCAACCAAACGATC